TGGCTTTGCCATCTGGACAATGGCAGCCAGCGTGCTGGCTTACCCACGTCAACTATGATGCTAGCCAGCGTGCTGGCTTTGCCATCTCAACAATTGCATCACCACATGCCGCACTGCAGACTGAACAATAACGTGTGAATCATCTGCCTCTGGTCATCCTGGTTGACGCTGAAGAAGTGGTCGTCAACAATGCCAAGGTTCCCTGGCATGATGGCTGGGCAAAGAGGAATAAGAAGGCTCTGGTTCATGTGCGATTGCAAAAGCTTGTGGGTTGCGTGAACCTTCTGCCAAGTATATTCGTCACTGCTGTTGAGTAGATATTTTAGTATAAGCAACCACTATGCTTGTCATTGAGTAATTGACTGTCTCAGAGAAAAACGCGACAAAGTAGCGTGAAGTGACACACAGCAGGCACTGTAGATGTTTTAGCGCACTCTCGTTGTTCGGCTCGCGACTAGTCTTTGTACACAGCAAGGATAGCGTTGTGCTTCCGCAGAACGACGTCCACACAGAATATATCAGGAAGAAGTCACGGTATGAGACACACAGTTGGTTGGGTCTAGCTCGTCCACCCGAAGCAGATCTGGATGGTGTAGGCATCTGTGAAGTTGCGGCTGTTGTTCCTAACCCAGTCTTCCCATCCACTGGACCACTGGACCACTCGCCAAAACTGCCAGGTTTCTCCATGGGCAACCCAGCATCTGGTTGCTATGGACTGGTTTGGCCATCTTTCATGGATGAGCTCTGGCTGGTCGTCATGGTATGTCCTGCTGCCATAGGACCAACAGAGGCACACCTGTCTCTGGTTATCCAGGTTGGTATACAAGAAGTGGTCGTCAACAATGCCAAGGTTCCCTGGCATGATGGCTGGGCAAAGAGGGAGACCTACGAGCTAGTGGGCTGTAAAGTAGTAAATAGCGCATGCATAGCCATAAGAAGGCTCGGTTTGCCTGGTAAAGGTTTATGTGGGAAATGAATATTGCAAAAGCTTGTGGGGCGCGTTCAAACTTCTTGCTAGTATATTCTTCATTGCTGTTGAGTTGATATTGTGGTAGTTGGCCCAAGTTGTATGGAGACTTTTGCAATGTCACTGTGAGCCCTGAAAGGCCAGTCACGGAAAACGCACAGTCTGTTGGCACAGGCGCTCTGAGGGTGACATGTGCTTCGCTCTAGATGTAGTTGAGAACCACTATGCTGCTCATTTTCCAATCGCCTCTCCCACAGAAACATGCAACAAAGTAGCACGAGGTGACACATAGCAGGCACTGCGCATGTTTTCGTATGCTCGGGTCGTTCAGCTCGCGACTAGCCCTTGTATAGGGCAGAGACTCCCCGACACTATGTCTATACTGGTCGTGCTTCCGCAAAACGACGTCCACACAGGATTTGTAAGGAAGAAGTCGTGGTATGAGACATGCAGTTACCATGTGAACATCTAGGTGACACCCTGCGTCGGGGAGACTCTCACTGCGTTGTCCGCTCCGGAGACACGGCGGCGACCATCTGGGCCAACTGGGCGGCGTCGAAGGTGCCATCTGGTGACACATCCGCCAGTGGGATGCGGAGCGGGGGGTCCACCTGAACAAACCTGCCAGTCTGGTCGTGGTAGCCGCTGAGTTCGATGCAATCGGGCGGCATGGTATTTGCAGCGCGGGCCGCTTCCCACGACCGCCCAAGACGCTGGCATGGTCGACAGAGAAGGTGATCGGCATCGCACTGGGTACAAACGGCGTTGCACGGCCGCAGCGAACAAGCCTCGCACCAGGAATGCGTCCACTGCCCGCAAAGTTCGCAAGGTTGGGCTCCGAGGTCTCGTCCGGGCAAGTTTTCAGCCGCAGTGACCAGCGCAAACGCCGCCCTCTTGGGAAAAGATCGCTGGCGCTCATCGCGTGGCACTCCGCGATGGTCGTCGCGCGGATGTAGGCGCAACCAAACCTTCGCTTCCGCCACCCACGCTTCCCAGGCCACTGGGCGCAGGGCAGTCATGGCGCGGCGGCGTGGTGAGAGGAATGACGACGAGGTGTGCTTACAAGTGACTGGCTGCGAAGCACCGGAACCCAGTTTCCAAGTAGCACTGACGCAGCGCACAATCGTGTGTACTGTGGTATTCGTCTTCGGCCCTCGCCCGTCCTCGCCTTCTTGTCGAAGAGCACACCTGGCGAGAAAAACAAGAGGGGTGGCGAGAAACCTCTCAGATGTCTCTTGTGCTAGGCTGTTTCATGAAGCTCAGTGTGGCACCGCGCCGATGAATTTGTCTTCGTCTTCTGCCCTCGCCCGTCCTCGCCTCCTGGTAGAAGAGTACACCTGGCCGGAAAAAAACAAGAGCTTTGGGGAGAAACCAAGAAGATATCTCCTATGCTAAACTATTTGCTGAGATTAGAGGCTGAAGCTCACGGCGGCGCCGCGCCTATTTTTGTTTGCCTGCGCCGTCTAGTCCGCGCGACGACACTTCTGCAGAACAGCGTCCATGCCGTCGCGGTGATACATTTTCGCAGAGCGGCGTCCATGTCCCGAGCCTCTCAGAGACTCAAAGCCGCGTGAGCGTGCTTGGACAGCAAAGTCTCCCAATGCTTCAGTGCCCATAGAATATAGTCTCGATTTTTCCATGGGCGCAAGGAAGGTCGGCGCCACAAAATCTGTTCAATGGCTGCCTGCGCCTGAAGACCTTCCCTGGCCATCAACGTCGCAGCCAGTGCCGCGGGGCTGCGATGTATGCCGCCGAAACAATGGAAGAGCGCGACTTGTTTCTTCCCCAGCATGGCACGCCTGGCATTCAAAGTGCGTGCGATCTCTGACCACACCCGACAGTTCTTCTGGGCCTGCTCCGTGTACAGCGTCGGATCTTGGGCGACTTTGACCGTCAAATCGTCCAGAGCGTAGACACATTGTTGGGCACTGTGCAGGCGTAAATAGGCATCCCAACTCTCTGGTGTCCCTTTGGCCTGCAACTCCTTGGCACAGAGCGTCACGAGCGTGTTCACTTGGACGCTGCAGATATGTGCCACTTCGGCCAAGTTCGCCGCCGACTTCCGACTGCCCAGGACATACACCATATCGCTCGACTCATAGACGATGGTCGCGTCCAAGGGCCACGCACGGAGATCTCCCAAATTGTAAGAATGGTTCCAAATGACACGATCCAGATGCCTCCATGGCCCATGGTAGAAGTACGTCTGAATGAGATCCTTCATATCGTCGATCCACTCTTGCGCACAAAGCTCCACAGGCAAATGTGGCAGGGATGGCTGCAGGTGATTCATACCAGGGCAATCTGTCCGAAGCCTAGATGTTATGAATACTGGAGCCAAAAAGCTATAACCCTGAGAGAAATGGTTAGTTGTTGTTGAAATGGGCAAGAACCAGAAACTAGTGCCAAAAGAAGCGCGCGTGCTATCATAGATGTAAAGCCGAGCTTTTCTCTCTGGGATCCCGCGCCTCGCTGACGCGTTGCGTCCGCCGCAGTGCCGAACTTCGACAGAAGCACGTCCATGCCTTGAGAGACAAGAGAATAGAAGAAAAACAACGAAAGGAGCGCGTGATGCAGTCTTCTGGTCCAACTTTCATGCTAGCGTCGATCTAAAGCTAAGCTTTTCTCTCTGGGATCCCGCGCCTCGGTGTCGCC